TTGGCATGATCACATTATGCATCACTTTTGGGATCTCAGAGGGTTGGTTATCGTTTAAGGTACTACGCAGAAGAAATGTCTGCAATTTAAGACGATTTTGAGGAAGGTGGAGAGCGATAAATTATTTACTACAACTTTACCCATTCATTCATTCTGCTTATTGGTCAAATATTTCAAGTTTTGAGGTGAGTACTTGACGTCTAATGGTTTTAAGTTGATTGTCCTTCTTGAAAGAGCATTTCCAAATTCGCAGTGTTACTTAATGTTTAATTTTTTCCCTTTATATCGTGTCAGAACCCATCATCAGACGAAAAAGAGACCAATAACAACGTTAGTGATGGCACTGTTGAATCAGAGGATGAAATCCTTGTGGCAGATCTCAACGCTCCTGAAGGCGCGTCCTCATCTGAAGAGGAATACGATCTGACAGCTGAGGATGACAATGCTGCTCAGAAGAAGATCAGCAAACGCGTAATATTGAACGCTTCGGGTGGACGCAAAGCTGTTAGCAAACGACGTCTCCCTGAGGCTGTCGATGATGACTCCGACTCCAGTCTCGATTTTGATGACATGGAGAATCGCGTATCTGACGCCAGTGACGAAGACGGTTGCCATAGACGGCGCAGAAATCTGAAAAGAGGTGATGATGAAGTCGACAACAATGAGGAGGCATCTAAATTGGAGAAAGCAAAGAAAAAAAAAGTGGCTATGGTAAGTTGACCTCTTATTTCCCTCGCCTTCGATGCGGATAATGACAAACCATCTTCTCTTGCAGCGAAAGAAGGCACAATTGAAGAGACAGAAGCAGGAGCGAAATCGAGCGAGAGTGAAAGATTTGGTATGTGCCTTACACTATTTTTTATCCCCTTTCCGTCTAATAATGGAGCCACCTCCTTTGCCTTTGAGTAACGCCTCTTTCACCATCACAAAATGGAACCACAAACCACTAAACGATCAATTTACTGCGTGCATTCGGCACTCTGATTTCCCATTTGTCTCATGCAGCTCATTATTAGTGTCCTCACTCAATATGCTGCCTTACTGATACTCTACGCATGCTTTGAAATCGCCGTTCATAGCCAAGAGTCACCAATTCGTACTCTCAACAATTGTCCTCTTCCACTGAGTAGAGTGGAGACGGTTTAGAAGTTCCTTCTCGAACTTCACGCACAAGTTGCTGATTGTTTCAGTGGACGGGAGCTAATGAAGATGACTCTCGGTTTGACGTCTTTCTGACGGATCCAGCGTTCGGAGTGAGTCAGTTGCATCGGGACTACAAGGAGGCTGGCGAATTTCTCAACTTCATGCGGCGCCGACGAGAGCCTCTGTTGAGGGCTAAGATGAGGTCGGAGGATGTGAATGATTCATAACTTCTGCCTTGTGTACTTTTTCAATGATTTTGTACAGGAAATGCATTGACATAGCTGTTTTTATTGAGTTGAAGTTGAATTTGGACTTGGGCCTTAAGATTACGGCATTGTAATTATTTAAAGGCGGTAATGTTGCTTGGTCTAAAGTTACCTGTTTCATGTTACCAATTTTGGCATTTCGACTTTGATGATGCCAGACAATTATTGGAAATGGGCTTTTATAAATAGCTACGTCTGAGTTATTAATGTCGTACTGCATGCTAAGTTTCTTTTCTATTTTGTTCGAACACTTTTTGTTGGAGTCTCGATGCCGGAAGGTCTGTAGAATGTCGATGTCCTCTTCATGCCTCGAAGCATTCTACTGTTAATTAATAAGTAGACTTTCTCACCAACGTAAAAAACCGTCAATTTTGTGCACGAAATAGTTATAACTTGCTTACAGGCGATGATTGCATGAAACAGGAAATGTGATTGGGATAAAGTCGTTTGTGAAAATTCTGCATTTTCCATCGCCTTTGGAAAAGGAATGTCAGACAAGAGCAACGAGTCGCATTTCATGCATGTAATTTTAAAATGCCAGAGTAGTTGTTTTCTCTATTAGTGAGATTTGAAGTTACTTGATCTGGAAAAACCCGAAAGTGTATTCTGGTTGGGTATTGCTTTCATGAAGTGTTTACTCATAGACACTCCAAGAATTTGCATAAGACAGAAGGCGTGATCCGGAAGCGAACCAACGGGGCCCCAAGTAAAACGCGAATTGAGAAGAGAGTTACTTGTTTCCCTTTCTTCCTTTGGATGTCGTTCCAGTCTTCTCAGTGGCTAAAATTCACCACCAATAAAGTAGCTGTCAGTGAAAGAAAACATCTTCAAGTTGATCATGCCTGCCAACAGCTTTCTACTTCAATGAGGAGGTGGATGGTCGCTGGGTCGTTGATTCCCCTCAATAATTCCGCTGTCGTGGAGTCGTGGTAGGGGGAGGAGAGTGTGTTTATCATCACTCATCTCAGTTACTGGTCTTGGAATCACTGACCAAAACGCTGTTAAAGGCAGAGGACGGGAGTTATTATGGTATAGTGAAGGTTGGGTTTGTGTTTTCTACATTGTTACTTTATTTTCATTTCACCTTAGTCTGGGTTCCTTCAAGGTGGGAAAGAGATGAAAAAGCCAACTCGGGTTTGCATAATTTGTATTGCCATGCATGAATAGTTGACAAACTTGTCCAGGTAATTTGCAAATTGTTTTTTCGAATGTCAAAGGCTCTTCTGCTTGACAAAAGTAGACTGTTTTCAGCGCTTTTCTTATGGATCTTCACCGCTTCTTCCGCTCCCAGCATGTGCACCTCTTCCATAGCCAATCAGTAAATTCACATTAAATGCTCCGTAAGATCTGTTTTGATTTTAAATTTTGCTAATATGACATTCCATGACTTTCTTGACATCGACGCCGTATCAATATTTGGTTTAAGGTTCGTTTTGTCCTTGTAGCGTTTTGGATCCACAGAAGACAGTGTATTTCGCTCGACTGCGGGACTTACAAACTGAACTAATGGCGTTAAACCACATCTAGATGTTTGTAACTACTTTGTCCTATCACGCTCTTCTAGTGAAGGCGATATGGAGTTTCGCGACTAGCTATGACCTCGCCAGAAGGTGTCCAGATAATCAAAAACTAAAAGTCTGAACTCTATTTCTCTATCAAATGGACTGTAAGGGCAAAGCACGCGGAAAAAATCCTTTCATTGCTTCAATGTGTCTCATGGTATTGACGCAGGTTAATCAGTCCAAATCAAGCAGTTGTTAGCACAATTCCAACTTTGACAACCTTCTTTTAGCGGGTTGCACAATTGACAGAATTTATCTTGCTTTCAAGGTAGTTGTGACAGCTTTAGCGATGTTTGAAATTCAGCCCTACGATCACAAGCTAAGATATTCCTTCATAATTTTAAACAGTTAATAGGAACGAAATGGACCTGAAATAGGTGTGGGTAGTAAAATTTATGCTTTAAGAATACTTTTCGGTCTTGCTGATAAATGTGAAACGGCACTATTTGCTGATTGGTTTACGGCGATTACTGTGGTAGAGGGGGGGGTGGAAGAGCGACCACTTACTAGTTTAATTGGCTTGATGGTCGATCATGATAAGCTCAGCTAGCCAATGGGATGGCAGAACAGAACTCAAATGCCAGTTATCATGATGTAGCTCTAATATTTACATTGGGAATGACGATGAAACAAATAATGACGCAATTAGTTGTTATTTGGTGAATAAAGCCTTCCCCATTGGCTAATTCGACTTCAGTCCACTAGGAATGTAGTTGGAAAGTGGTGCGTGCCTACCTTTGAGGTGTGTATTGGTCAGTGCGTCATTTTATGAACAACCAATGATCTGTTGGTTTCCCTAGCGTCATGTATCGGCTCATGTGAATTGGGGAACTGTGTATTACCAATAGCAAGTAAGATCCAATAGATCGACTTTCACAAGTCGCCTAGTCAGGCAATAACCGCCACAGGATCGGTACGTTCTTCTACTTTATCACTAATGACAGATCTTTCTGGTTAAAATGCTGCATCCACTTTTAAATGGCTCTTTTTTAAACACTATATTGTGGCATGAACCGCGACTACGGTGCCATTGCCAAACTTACGAAAAGAATGTTCGGATCTTGAATCACATCTATTACGACCAACCACCGCTTGATGCATAGAAATTGGTATGAAGTGCTCAAAGAGCCCTGTACTGACAAACTGAATGCATCGTGCTCATCGAAATGCATCTGTTGCTTAGCTAGAAGTTTCGGTCAGGGACTGTTTTGCCTCCAGGTCAAATACATTTGTTCTGCCACCCTTCGACGTAAGGGAAAGCGAACCCAATCTTGTTACTGTTGAAGTGGGAGAAGAAACTACACTATGGAGGGAGGAATTGGTGAAAGCTACTAGGAGAGGATGCAAAAGTGCTGTCTACTTTGGGAACTACGTCAGTTCCAAGATCTGCAAGAAAGTTATTTACAAAAGTGACACTAGTCATGAATCAGCTGAAAAAGTTCACTGACCTGCCCTACTAACATTGTAATAAAATGTCAATTAAGTAAATTTGCGATACCAATTCTACTTCTCTACTCGGATGGATTCAGCTAGGTCCTAACAACAGTTGTGAAAATCCACAAATTTGTTTAAATCCTCATCTGTCTAACATATTTTAAGACCAGTGTTCCAACATCGTCTACTCTAGGAAGGCCTGATGCTTAGCACAATTGTCGGCCCCTGAATCCACAGTCTCCAGGTCGGATGAAACGCCAGGTCCAGTTGAATTGCTAATAAAAGTCAATGACATGGAATTCAGACACCCCCTCAGTGGCATTAAAAGTTGACATCTGTCACGATCGACTCATACGTGTTCACTTACACTACTGAAGTGGGAGAGGTGCCCTGTGATGCCTTGCCCGGTTAAGGGCTGATGAAGAAGCGCTTTGATGCCTCAACTACTGCACTTCTGCCGTTGGTCAACGTCTTATGTCCTTTTTGAGGAAGTCTCGAGGCGCTACGATGCCTCACAATCCAGTCGACTTGTTTGGTCGCTTGAGTACTAAACCTTTACGGCTTAAACTTGAGCAAAATTGTCATCCGATTGAAATTATAGCAAAAGTAAGTGAATATTAACGATTAAACAATATAAAAGAGTCCCTTAAATAGGTAAATGGACAGAATTCTTGTTCAAGTTGAAAGCTTTGAGAAAAATAGTCCAAACTTCCACTGGAAACAGAATGATGCCGTCTTTCTCCCAATAAGGGCGCACCAAATATTACTTGCAGTAGTTTGCACTGCTCCCTTAAAAGGGTACGAACGACGGAGAGTGGCAGAGCGAGTAGGCGGAGTGGCAATGCTGTCCAAAAAAAAATGGTCAAACAGCATCCGTCTGGAAAATTGAATGTCGAAAATGTAATACAATCCTAAATACCTCTCGTCTAGTTCGTGTAATTGGATGTATGTTAAGTAAAAAAGTTTTAACAGGATCCCACAGAAGTGCAGGATGTAGATTGTTCAGAACTAAGACCATAAGGGAGAAAAGCTAACAACTAGTAAGAATATCACAAAGCTAGTGAAATTGAATACAAGTGTAAGACTTGGGAATCCGGTTCCCGAAATCCCAGATGCAGTGCTGCAGGAGACGCTCTGATGGAAAACTGTTCATCGGAGTTACAGAACCATCCGAATATTCCACCCTCCTCACGAATGCTTTCAGTAGTTCTTTACAGTTGACAAACATTTCAATCCTGTTCAACTAAGTAATTTTCCACATTGCAGTTACCCAATTCCAATGACAATAGAAATTCAATAGGTTTCAGTGTTTGAAGGCATTTGTTCAACAAAACCTTCCATCCATCCAACTTCCCATCACGCCCGTTAAGTCTATCAATGATGAGTCACATTTCAAATAGCAATTTTCAGAACTATCACATTTTTTTTTTAAAAAAAAGGCTAGAATGAAAGGTAGTTAGTTGGGAGAAAGAGGTGAACAAAAGAGAAGTGAAAGGCGTGAATTCACACACACACACACACACACACACGACCGAATTGCAGACAAAGCCTGTGGTGAAGGGAGAAAATATTGACCGACTCCTTGTTTAGTCAGCTAAAGGCGTGGAAGTCTCCCATTTTCATTC